TGTAAAAGTTTCATTTCGCACCCTCCACCACGGGACGTGATCGTCGTTAGACTTGGCAACCCTGCGAGTGACAGATAGATATCCCCGCCAGTCAAAAACACAAACAATAGACATTACTAGTTTTCATGATTTTTGGACTTAAAAGACATTATTTGTGAAACATTTTTCATAATTTTTTGTCTATGTCCATAGTAATTGCATTATGCATCAGGGAGATGTAGGGATTGACACGTCTTATCTGTGTTTTAGGATGGAGAGGACATAATGTTTTTATTACTTTGAAGAAATTCATTAACCCATAAATTAATAAATGATTACTATTACGACGTAAAGGAAGGTGAGGAATTGGATGGAATGTATTTTATATTCTATTTACTTGCAAAATACAGAGAAATCCACACTATTCAACAGGTATGTAATGATAACTTTCAGTATATTGAAGTTGGTAAATTCGAGAGTGCCATGCATTAACAAACGTCCAAATCTGCTGCCAAATTTAACAGCTAGAAAATCGACCTATTATTTGCCGTATTCCCATTCGCTGAGGGGGATAACGTATTATTAAATGTAAACCTATAACATATATCAAATACATGAAAGTTTTCTTGTTTTTCTGTACAAAAGCATCATGTTGGAATCAAAAAGTGGTCTTGTTTATAATACAGTCGAATTTTTACGATTTTATTCAATATTTCAATAGAAATCACTAATATTCAGAGACCTTTGACAGCTTCTGTCAAATTGCATTTCGATAAGGTATTTTCCCATTGGTCCATAATATTAATGTTGGTGAAATCGGACCTTCGTATCCCTTACAGTTTCCAAGATCCCAATGGTGAGTGCCAAATTAGACACACCCTGTGTATTCAGACTCTCACTATACTATAACTATCTAAAACTGTAATGAACATCACTTAACTACCAGTAGTCGGCTGTTCATAGGCGGGGTATGAATGTTTAACATGGGCGAACTAGATTTGTCACATGCTTAATAAAGAGTGGTTTGAAACATATTGTAAGTCAAAAATTTGGGAATTACCTTTATTCATCGTCGCTTCCACTTACATCTGACAGTAATAAACTGTCGCTATCGCTTTCCTCGTTGAAATTGACTATAACTGGCTCTATGATGGTGTCGATGTGGTGGTCAAGCTGCCACATTTTTGTTTCTTCCTTCACAACATGACGGATAGCATTCTGCCAAGCTTCGTGCGTTACTAGCTGTATGGAAGTCTCAAGTAAAACCTTAACGTCTGATAATTTGAAGGTTGTGTTATGGCGCGCAATATAACCCTTCACTTGAGCCCAGATGAGCTCTATTGGGTTCAGTTCACAGTGGTAGGGCGGTAACCGCAGCACAGTGACACCACATTGACGGGCCATCTCATCAGTCACGTAACTAATGTTCTCAGGTTTGTGCTGCTTAATTTTTTCATACAATTCCGCTTTCACACATGAATCGTCAAACGGGATTCTTTTTTCGCGCAACCATTACTGCATGTCACTTTTTCGAGATCCCATAGTCGGTACACGTTCGGCTCGACGACTATGGTAGGAAGCATTATCCATGACGATCACAGAGTTGGGCTCAACTCACTGAAACACCCCTTGAAACCAGCTCTCGAAGTAGCTGGCATTCATTTCGTCATGGTAATCACCTCCTTTCTTAGAGACGAAAATCAAGTCACACTCTTCTAAAAAGCCACTATCGCTACCAATATGAGTTACGATCAATCTTTGACCTTTCCCTGACGGTCCACGAAGACCTGTTGACAAACCTTCAATGCTTGCTTGTCGATTACTCACTACGTTTTTGTCTATCCAGGTTTTTTTAACTGTGTGACCTGCATTTACCCATGTCTCGTCCAAATAATAGATTTTTCTGCTTTGTCGCCTATATTCAATCATTTCGCGTAGGTATTTTCGACGCCAGGCGACTATTTCAGGTCTCTCTATCAATACTGACTTCCGATTAGGCGTTTCGCAACGAAAATTAATTTCGTGCAGGGATTTCCTCATTACCTCGACGCTCATTTGGGGTATAATTTCATTTTCCTTGATCTCTGCATGTACAGCCGTGAGGGTTGGTATCTCATTCCTAAAGAAGAATGAATGTACGGTTCGCCTTAACGCCATTTTGCTATCGTCATCCAATTTAACGGCCTTTCGTCCTTTCAAATTAAACTTTGGATCAGTAGTAGCTCCAGTTTTCTTCTTTTCATGCACCACCCTGCGAATGGTCCACTCTGGAACGCCTGTCATACTTTCACAACGCGCGAGTGCATCTACCTGCGACATAGTTCTGTTCAGATAATTGAACACGTTGAGCACGATTTCTTTCGCGTCCCTCTTCAGTGCTTTACGAAGCCGTCTACTTATTCCCTGGCTTTCAGTACTTCCACTTGAAAAAATTTGTACTCTCCATGGTTAAGTATAACCAAAACAGTAACCACAGAAACCACAACAATAACAATCACACAACAATTCTTATAAAAACACACAATATGCGATCGCTCAACGAAACACGTTCCAATGCGTTGCCGACGCCTATGAGTCTGCCGGTCGAGGCGCGTCTTTGATTTGATTGGTTCTACCGGCGGAGAACAATCAGCCATTATTTCCATCTCTGTCTGTGCTGTTGACCACCGCAAAGCCACAGAAACGACATATGTCGTACGCTATACGGCTGTACTGGAAGGAAGCCGGGATCGAGCTCTGATCACGTGTTGATCACGCGTATGAGTCATTACAGTTTTAAATAGTTGTAGTATAGAAGAAATAAGTAAAATGACTTTATAACGTCTTTGAATAATAAATGGTGTTATACTATATATTAAAAAGCTAAAGCAGCTTAAAATAAATTATATCTGCTTACATAGCTATAAGTTCCACAGAGTTCCCAACATCGTATTACTTATGGTTCTTGAAAGTTATATCCTCTATTGTTCGGATTTTTCATGCTGAAATTCATAATCTTCATTTTGCCATTATCGGGTCAATAAACACAAAGCACTTTGGCGCTGGCTGATATTTAAAATGGAATTTCACTAAAATTTCTCACTTGCTCCCAAGAAAATGTTACAAAAACTTGTTTCTGTTAAATTGTGGCACTATTTTCTCTACAAAATTCAAGTTTTTGGGTTTAGTTATCTCCTCAGTAGATCTTCAGAGTCTTCATCTTCTTGGTATATCGCTCAGTTTTTTTTACTCGGAAGCAGCCGCGCAGGTGAACACTACATGCCAGGGCACCGCGGCTGCTTTGAGGAGCGTAAAGAAACTTTGTTATCCCTATTTTTGAACTGCCTAAAGTTATTAGAACTGGGAAAAGCTCCTCATGTAGATTGTTACACGATCTCGATACCCTTGGGAGAAAGGAGCGGTCTTATCGGCCAGTTCTGGATGTACGAATTTCGGCACGCTTACGATGGGAGGCCCAAGTCAGGCAGGCACATCGCGCAGCGACACCATGGAAGAGAGCGCTCAGGAGCAAAGCTCGTTGGTGTTGCTAGATCGCACAGTGTGTTCCTTTATAGGGATCAGGGACAAAATTCGATATCTTAAAAACTAGTGGTCCTATTTGAATTCTGTAAACGCAGGGCGATTACTTATTTAAGTAGCTTTCTAAAGTATGACAAAAATTATTTAAAATAATAAGAAGGGGTGGGGGAGCAGGCGGGATGCATTTCGCATAAATCGTTTTTTTTTTGTAAAAGTCAAAATATTAAGTTGATGATCTCGAATAAATTGGGATAAGGTAGGATATTATTATAGCATTCTTAAGAGAGACAAAAAGTCACGCTTTTATTTTTCAAAATCTTTACCGAATGATTTAAAAGATAATGTAGCCAACTTGTGGCGGGCGCAATATGATTTATTAAATTTGTCTATCTATTTGAAAAAATAATAAGAATAATTCAAATAAAAAATAAATCTGTATAATTTGAAATTGATATTTAGGTTTTTATTTAAACAGATATATTTAACAAAATAACAATTACTTAGTAGGTAATGTATGAAATAATAATATAAACTATATTAAAAAAATAACACCAAATATACCCATTCTAATCGGAATAGGATTTCTTGCTCGGTGCTGTGTCATTCGTTAATGTACCTAAGACAATACCTAAATCATCATTTTCTTGCTTTTTTAAATAATTCTGAACTGCCTCGTTGCATTTCTTATATTTTTTTGAGCTCACCTGTCTTTTTGAGGATATAAAAGTATCAGAAGTAAGTAGAAGAACACGCATGAGATCCTTATTCGTATCTGTTCTTGAACATTTTCTGGTGTGAGATAATCGATATTTCCTAACCTCTTTATGGCGAGCCTCAAGCTCATCCTCCGACAGTTCTCCAATGGGCAAACAAAATGCATCAATTATCTCACACCCATGAACAAGGACCTTATGTACCGTGTTTGGCATGTTGTACCACTTATAAAGGGGGATATACAAATTTCTTGCTTCTTCCGCAAACTTTCCCATATCAATAGCGCAACCACTAGCTAACACTCCTAAGATGATCGCAAATTTCTCGATTAATTCCCTGTCAACCCCTGTGATATCTGAACTTGTTTGTGGATTGTGGAAAAAAATTCTGACCGTATTGCCATCATTTGAGGAGCCATACCCGGGTTTTGGTTTGTCAACAATTAGAGACAGCTTGGCTCTGAACTCTGCTTGGATTCGTTTTTTGTTTGCTTCGACTAGAGCTTTGTTTTCAGGCCCACGAACCTGCCAAGATTTAATTGGCAGGCGGTATCCAATATGGAGTAAGCATTCAAAAAAACGAATCCAGCAGTGTAAAGTTGACAAACCAAACCGGTAATTGTCTACGTTAGGAGGACGGTTAATCCCTGCTAACGTGTTCATGTCCTTGGGTGTGGCTCCGCAAATGATGCACTTCATAGTTGAATTTGTCTCTGATAGAACGTTTCCAACACTGCCATCCAACATCATATCAACTTCAATTATATAAGAGTGCCCTTCTTTTGTTTTAATCTCAATAGGAATCAAATTTTCAATTTTTGTTATTATTTCCTTTTCCGTATTCCGCACTAAATCAGCATTTTCCTTTTTAAATAAAAACTTGATCGGCCTACAATATAAAGTAGATGAAGGGCTCTCATTTTTCCACAATACCTTATTCGTTTCCATATCAATCAATCTGAGTGGCGTCATTGCTACAAGAAACAGAAACTCGTCGGTGTTTTCTAAATCAGAAAATTTCTGCTTATATTGGCTATGCCCAGAACTGCCATCAAATCCCCACTTGCATATCACTTTAATCCGGCAATCTCTCTCTTCAAAACTTATTATTTCAAGGATACTTTCAGCTGTGTTCTGTAGAAGTTCTTGCAAATCAACTTCTGCAGAAATTTCAGTAATAATAAATAGTGAAGGGAGGATAGCATTTTTTGTTTTCTGTAATTCTTTATAACTAGGAAGGCAGTTCTGGGCCTCACCATTAATAGCAGACCTAACTAGCAAATACTTTCTTACGGATATATCCAAATCTACCATAAGGGCTAAAGCTTCAGCTGTACTAAAACTAAAAATTTGTGGCGAGACCTCACTGTGATTGCTTCCAGAAACGACATTTACAGCAAATTGAAGTTCATTTGCAGATCTGTCTGTGGTTAGTTCGGCTACACGTCTTCGTTTTGGTTTTCTTCGATGCCTTTTCAAATGGCACCTGTAGTCGTCTAACTGAGCGACAAGGAGGTTCTTGTTCCTCATCCGAAGATGTGTTTTCTTCAGAATCATTATTTATTCTATATATAATCTTGTCTAACCAATATACCTGATTTTGTAAAAGTCGATTCGGAGATTGTCCTACACTCTGCCATTTATTTGCCATTTTCAACCCAAACAACTGGCTGCATTTCATAATATTACTTTTAAGATGTTTGGAAGCTTCATCTGTTATATCAATAAGAGATAATATCTTTTCATAAACCACCTGTTTTCTATTTCCTCTCGGTGCTATTTCTGACAATAGCACCATGTCCTAAAAAAAATTATATCTCCCTTAGACGTGGCATGACGTGATTTAAACTTTTTATGAAAACTTACTATGGACAGATAAACAATAAATAAAAAAATGTTTAGGCTGATGGGAGGTGATTTTTGTAAAATTCTAAACAAAGTCAAAAGTTTAAAAGAAATTAAAAAAATTGGTAATAGTCACTTTAACTTAAATAATTATCTAATTATAATTATATTTTAAATAAATCTATACATCAATATAATGTACTTACCAGCCTCATTACCAGCCAAAAGTTAAAATATTTAAATATTTCGACACAAAATTTATATCTTTCCCGAGCAATAAAACAGAGAGATTTTTCGCCTTCTTGACAGGTCTCGACATGTCTAACTTTAAAGTTGCTAAAATAGGTAAATCGCAGCCAACTTGATTAAAGTACCTATACTTACGTGTTGCAGTGACTATTTATCTATCCAGTGGTATAATAAAAGCAACAGAATTCTAATGTCAAAAATTATGTTTTTGAGTAATTTTGTCCATTGGGCACCACACTGTGCGTCGGTGCCCCCAGGCCCTCCATTGGAGAAGAGTAATCGATCATTAAATGCCTCTTGTGAATCAATTTTAGTCCTAAAGATACTTACGACACACTCTGATACCTGTCACTGTCATTGGTAGACTGGTGTCCTCTGATCTGTCAGAAGGTTCAGTACGAACAGCGGATTAGCTGTCGGCAAACTGTCAGAAACTGTACGGACAGGTAACATCCCTGATTCCGATTTTGACAGTCACCGACAAGTTACCGACTACTGTACGAACAAACCGTTTTTGTTTTTCAATACAACCTTACAACTAAGTGTACTTGCTGTCCAGTACCTGTACATCTATAATTTCCTCAAGTAGTGCTGTATGTTTTCTCTTCTTGTCACTGTTATGAATATTGAATTTTCAGTATGCCTCATGTGATGAGAAACGAAGAAACATTGTGAGAAGGGAGTCCGTTCATCTTTTTAGCGAAGGTGGCTGAAAGAGAGGTGACAAGAATTGATAAACCGTGTTCTCCGGACAAACCTTCATAACTATTTAATAGCTTGCTTTTGTTTTATGTTCGTCGACCCGACTCAATAAAAAATACTGTGGAATGGGAGCGTAAATTTGAGAAGAAGCTAACACTCTTTACTTTGAGTTTGATACTAACAGGCTTCCTAACAGAGCTTTTAAAGTCCTTCAATATCTATATCAGGTCAAGATAGAATACACCCAGTATTTAGTGAACAACGTCGTATCATAATTTCTATTAGAAGGTATTTTCTTTTAATCTACAACTAATGTTAGATGCACTTTTTTCATTCAGTTCTGATATCTGAACTACCACCCAAGTTAAAGAATAGCAACACTGTGAATGCATATTTTAGTAGCGCCCCAAATCTGGCTAAAAGTCAACTTCAAATTGATATGCTTAGAAAATACGATACCCACGTAATGCAAGCTCATGAAGATTCTTTTAGATTCACAACAGTTAGTTCCCACGCTGTGTTCAAATTTCTTAATAAAATTAAAAGCAATGCTGTAGGCTCGGATAATATTTCGTTACGTATGTTACTATCAGTTTCCTCTGATTTGATAGAGTATATCACGTTTATTTTAAATTTCTCACTCACATCTGGAACATTTCCTTTTGCATGGAAGCATGCTTTGGTGAGGCCAATACCTAAATGTAACTCACCTAATGAGCTCTCTGACCTAAGACCGATTAGTATTCTGCCTACCCTATCAAAACTCCTACAGTATATTCAGATAAGAGATAGACCGGATGTAAACAAAAGGTTCGGGTGATTTTCACGCTAACGCCGCCGTCTCGACGTAAAACAGGAGACCTCATTGGTCAATTCGCAATTAAATGCCTATGCGGAGCGGCAGAGCAGTCGTATCAAGGCAGAGTCACATTCAGGTTCAGACGTGTTACGTATGTCGTGTGCATCATTGCAATTTGATATTTCTTTGGACGTTTTCGTTTGTTATCTTATTAAGTTGTTGAGTTTGTCGTTGTTATTGTTATACCTTGTTATTGATTGTTATTGTTATCAACTGCTTGCGCAAAATGCCCAGTAGTACAGATACTGCCGATGAAGTTGTAAACTCCTGTAGTCCACCTAGGAAACGCTCTAAAAAAAGACACCTGAGTGCAGAAATGAAAGAGGTCATTTTGAATATATATATAAGATCGAGCGCGAGGAGAACGAGGCATCAACCATCAAAGAAATTGTTGTGAAGGTTTCTCACAAAGTTGGGGTGTGTCGCGCATCAGTGTTTAATGTGTTAAGACAATACAAAAAAATCACACCTTTTCTGAGCCAATGACCAGTAAACATCGCAAAAGTATTGTTAAATCATTGGATGAAGCTGATAAGCATGCAATTAGGAGGAAAGTGCATGAATTCTTCTTTAGGAATGAAATACCTACTATAGATAAAGTACTGCAGGAGGTAAATGGAGATACAACGTTGCCAAATTTCAAACGGTCAACTTTCCATGCGTTACTGAAGCATTTAAGTTTCAAATGGATCGTAATAGTTTACTACTGGATAGAGAAGAAATTGTGCTATGGAGGAGGGATTATTTAACAAAAATTGGGAAATATAGAAATCAAAACAGGAAGATTTATTACCTTGATGAAACGTGGGTAAACGCAGGACACACTACAAGTAAAGTATGGGTTGATGATTCTGTAACTTCATCCAGGAGGGCCTTTCTAGATGGACTGTCCACCGGATTAAAAAATCCAGCAGGTAAATACGAGTAATAGACAACAATCGGATGTTTTTCAAACCTTGGGAACAAGGTTCTAAACATTAATTCCAGGGGGCAGATAAAACATATTACAAGTAACAAAACTTTTATAACTTTCGATAAAATGCGTGGATGTTTTATTGTCATTTTCATTTGTTAGAACTTTTTTAAGCCATGTTTTTATGTGTTTTCGATATTTCAATAATTTTTTAATATAATCTTAAAATATGTCGAATATTATAAACTTAAAAAAGTTACTAAGTTTTATATTGTGTACCGTTCCTAATATTTCTAATCATTTTAATTCATACTTTAAGCTTTATAAAGTTATAATTTGTTAATATTAACATTTGCGCGTATTTCAGGTTCCTGATCATTCATTTTTTAAAGGTTTATAACTTTAAATTAAATTGTGAAGCGCTGAGTACTCATACGACGTTCAATATTCTTTCTTTCAATATGACTAAATAATCCCAATCATAGCAATCTGATACTCATGTCTCAATGTTTTTTCGCTGAATGTGATGAAAACACTTGAAAAAGGTTCGATTATTGAAATAAATCTACACCAGTTAGTACTTCGATTTCCAGGTAAAGGGAAAAGGCTCATTATCTGCCATATTGGCAGTGAGGATGGATTTGTTGTTGACGGTCTGTGGTGCTTTGGGTCTAAGAAAACTGGAGATTACCACGAGGAAATGAATGGCGAATCGTTTGAACAGTGGTTTTCAAAAATTTTACCGAACTTAGAGGAAAACGCAGTAATTGTGTTGGATAATGCGCCTTATCATTCTCGAAGAATGGAGAAGGTCCCAACAACGGCTTCAAGGAAAGTTGATGTTCAAAATTGGCTCCGCTCGAAAAATATCAACTTTGAAGAAGCAATGCTGAAAGTACAATTATTGAGAATTGTCAAGGATCACAAGGCGGAATATCAAAAATACGCCATTGACGAAATGGCAGCAAGTCAAAATAAAACTGTGCTCCGTTTACCTCCATACCATTGCGAGCTCAATCCCATTGAGCTCATATGGGCAGAGGTTAAAAATTATATAGCTAAGCACAATACAACTTTTAAATTTTGTGACCTCAAAGGACTTTTCAAAGAAGCACTAGAAGTAATAACAGCGCAAAAATGGGAAAACTGTATTAAGCACGTGAAAGACAAAGTTGAAAAGAGAATGTGGGAACTGGACAATATTTTAGAGGAACAAGTCGAGCCATTCATTATTGACGTTGGTGCTTCAGGCAGTAGCGATGATGAAAGCTCATCAAGCTCATCTTTCCAATAAAAGATGTCGTTCATCAAATTCGGTAAGTTATAAGTAATTATAAAGCTACTGTATTTTTTAATTAATTATTGACATTTTTGAACCCATTTTGGCAAAACCTATTCAAGAATCTACTTTCTGACAATGTTCAACCATACACATTTTTTTACGTTTTGAACGTTTTAATTTGGTTACGTATTTACCTAGAAATCAAAAAATATACTAATCAATATTCTAAAAGCAATTTTAAGAGATATACGATTATTTTTAATTTAGGCTAATTTAAACGCCATTTTGAGATTATATTCGACTGTATTTCACCAAACATCAGGCGGCATCCGAAGCTGGAAATCGAAGCGAAAATTTTGAAACCCTTATGTATATTTACATCATTATATATTTCTTACCCCACCCCCACATGATCCTATATCCATCACCAATCGTATACACATCGAATTGTGCTAATTTACTACAAAGTTACGCAAAGCAGCATCTACTATCTAAAATATGTACTGCGTGACTCTTAATACGTCCCTGCCGAATGTTACAGCGTTCGATGATCACGTGGTCTTGTTTATGTCCGGTCTATCTCTTATCTGAATATACTTTAGAACTCATCATGAAAGACCAAATGCTTACCAATGCTAGTCAAAATAATATTATTACCAGCTTCCAGTCAGGTTTTCGTCCTCATCATAGCACCTCCACGGCTTTAATGACGATTACGGAT